ATGTCTTGAATCATATCAGTGTAGATGTCAGTGCAGTTCATCAAGATGAATATTAACAAGTAGAATCCTTTGTCTTTAACTTACTGACAGTGTATTCTATGTCACTTGCTTTCCAATAGTTCAGTATTTTAAAATGTTTAATAATTCATGATAAGCCAACAAGCCTGCGGTTGTAAAGATTTTCAAGCTGTTAATTAATGGACTTTGTTTTTTACCCTGTGTGTAATTTCAAAATTCTCTCTAATTGATATTCTAGGGGAAGATGCAGGATGTTATGAATTTGATCTTTGCTCCAGCCACTGACCTGCATTTTACTGAACAGGGTGGCAAAATACCTGTGAGGTGGACCGCGCCCGAAGCCATCCAGTATCGTAAATTCACCTCCGCAAGTGATGTGTGGAGTTATGGTATTGTCATGTGGGAGGTGATGTCCTATGGGGAACGGCCTTACTGGGACATGTCCAATCAAGATGTGAGTTACTGCCTAATAGAAATGAATTAAGATACTAACATTGCAATGTTGTCACTCTGCCGATGGACCACCTTGTCACCAAAGACCATAACCTTAGATTACAAAACCATCCTCATGTAAAGAAAAACTGTGTTTCTTCTCACTCAAAATCTTTCTTAAGTGAATTTAGGATTTTACCAGATTCTTTGATCTATAGAGATATAAATAGATTTATATAGGTGTTACAAACTGCAGATACAATTTTTCCACTTCAACTTTTAGCATTGAATCAAATAGTTTATCGCCATACAGCATATTTATCGATATCCAAATAACTTGTGATTTTTTTGATTGCATCTGTTCTATATCATTGATCATATGATTTCTTTGCCTTTTGAACTGTTGGTCAGACAAAAAGATGCATGGTTTTTTTTCTGTCTGGGAATTTGAAATCTGAGATTTTATTGTAGGAGTAATTCTAATGACAGATTGAGAGATAATGGAAACAGGCATTACTTCCTGCTCTATCCAGTGTAACTGTGGAGTCTCGTGTTTCTGAGTTTCTTTAAGAATCTCCAATTTCAAAACCATCAATAATGTCTTGCTTACAAACAACAAACCAGTATTAGGAGTGGAGGATATGAATTACCTCTGATCTGCATCTTAACTACCTACTTCTGTCTAAACTAAGGATAAGGAAGGGGGCCGGAATTACAAGAATACAAGATTATCTGAAACTCTCCCTGATGAAGTTGTCCCAGTAAAACAGAGAAAGTCACTGACAAAAACCCAGTTTGTGGTTTTTCTTTTAGACGTGCAGGACTCTCTTGAGAACAGCTCAGTGGGGGTGGTAACCTTGAGTTTAATTAGTTCAAGAAGTCTTGCTATATTCTTGCAGTCTAAATCCATTTGAGGGAGAAAGAGTCCTGAAATGGGACAGGCATAAAAATGAAGTCCTGAGAACGTGGGTTTGATAGTGCTATTAATATGAAGAACAGGAGTGGAACGCACTTGTCATGCAGGATGCTTCAGATTCAAATTTAAGTTCATAATGACTTATGGTAATGGCAACCAGTGAGAGTGGCAGCGTTGAACCAAGAACACACAACTCGTGCATATTTTCAAGTTTACCCGGACTTTGCTGATTTTGTTTCCCTTGAGGATTTCCAAATGTGTAAAGTCATAGATAAGCTCTGATGTTAAAGTGCTTCTTCGCAGATCACGTTTACTTATCAGGGTACGACACGACCTGTCAAAACAGCTTTATGATGTCCTCTGTGGCTGCAGATGAGCTTTGTAAAGTATACGCAAAAAGAATACGCAAAATATGACCGCTTTAATAGAAAGTATGCTTCAGATTGGGTTTTTAAAGCTACAACGCTATAAGCAACAATATCCTTCTCTGCTGCATTCATTTTGACCATTATTTTTTAATCTGGCCCTTTTAAGTCCCCTAACTTTAGGAAGGTGCAATACTAAATCATCCAGTACCTCTTTAAGTACCCGGGTTATAGTTGTTTTGACACCTTTTAAATGAAATATTTATACTTATTCCCTGCAAGGGAATTCGTTTACATCTTTCTTGTTGTACGTCAAACATTGCAATCATTGCACAAGATTAATTTTGGATGAGTACGGAACCTAAAGATGAGTCAGCAACATCAAGTTGCACTTGTATCAGTAATAAGATAATAACTCTTATTGAAATGTTAGAATTACTAATGCTTGTATCTCTAATACAATCAAAGCACAAAACAGTGCTGCTGCTTGCATTCCTGCCAGCTCCCACTGAGGGAGTCCAACCGTGCCAGACCACTCGAAGCTTTTTCTTATCGTCGGACTCTTGACACATTTTGATTGATGTTGGAAGGCGAGTGATTCTGGCCTTTAAGATTCCTACATGGCGCTCGGTATTTAGTACCCACAACGTTGGGGCTTAACATCATTAAGATTCTTTGGTGCTCCAAAGCAGTGGCGTGCTGATTGAACAATCAGATGTTAGAAATGCTAAACAAGATGTCTGGGCATTGGAATGGAGTATGTGGTGTTTTGCCACTCCAGTACTTGACAGACATCAATGTCAGAAATTTTTGCGCTTTGTCAAGATGTCAGCAAACATCCTCCGGGGATGCTGGGAGAACGTTATTTGCATTTTCCCCAACAGTTTCAGTGTTTTGACACCTTTTCCCTCCATGACTCATTCTTGTATGCGAGGTCCTGACAGGAATAGCTGATGAATATACAGTGTGCACAACCACATGCAGCCCCTCATCCTCACAGGAAGGGGAGGGGAGGTAGGGGCTCAAATCAAAGTGTCCGCTGCATCTACTGTTGTCATGGTGTTGACTTTTAATGAAGTCTCTGCTAAACTCCCTGCATTATGTGGACTGACAACAGAAATCGTGGGTCAATTATTTATCAGAGCCTTTTGTTTAGACATATAAACAATGTGGGAAATTAATCTCGGGTAAAACATCTCTTAATTGAAAGGTAAAACAACTCGGGCACTGTGACATATATATAGTATCTTAGTAAACATCTCCACAGTATTCTCACCAGCCTCATTGATGATATATAAGGACATGGTGGTCAGACAAAGCTTTACAACAATGTGAATTAAATGTTACAACAAATTATGAAAATGACCATGATCATAAATAACTTGGGTAAAACGAGGTCAAGATTCTCTACAGAGCATTGTGGCAATTTATTATTACACTTGTTAAAGACAGCAAGCTAAAACAACTGTCACCTAAAAATGCATGTTCTAAAGTGAGTTCTGACTTTAATAGGATACCTAGAATGGGTCAAGTAAAACAAATGGCTGGACACTTCCCATGAATTAATTGTGTCTGCATCTTGTAAGGCCCATGGTGCCACCACCTGAAGTTCTCCATCTCAAGCTGAAATAACTGGGTGATGACTCATTCTCTCAGATTTGAAATGGACACTAGTCAATAGTTTTTACAAGCTGGGGAGTTCCATTCTGAACTGACATGGAGATAAAACATAAACTTGGTTAAGTGGTTTTTTTAAAACAATATCTTTCAGGTAGTTTTGTTTCACACAGGACTCATAAACAGAAATGGAGATCATTAGCTATAGTCCTAGCAGGGGCACATGCAGTAGAACGATCCTCACTCAGGAACAGAAAACGTTTGGACATACTTAGAATGTGATTGGTGTGTTGGTGTGAAGGGATCAGGCATCAATAAATCTAATTGTATTTGCATTCCCCATATTCACAAATCATAATTTGCCTCATAGGGCTGAACAAGGTGCAACTTCCTCTGCCCTTAACCTTTGACACGAGTAAGGATCATAAGATCAGAGATCTATTGCTCCTCAATTACTCCTCTAATTTATCAGTGCAGCTACTTTTACTTATTATAAAAGTGACCCATAACCATCCATTCCAGTTAGGCCAGTCCAGTTTGGGTAAAAACACTAAAGGTTTAATCTTAAGGGGTTGGAGATAGCATGACACTAAATGCTGATACTTAATGGTTTAGGGGTTGGGTGATTGTAAAAGGTTATGGCTAGGGATTAATACCTTAAAAGTTTGGGATTAGGGTTATACTTAATGCTGACACTAACGGTCCATCTGTTTTGCATCCCCCAGGTCATAAAAGCGATAGAGGAGGGCTACCGTCTTCCAGCCCCCATGGACTGTCCGCCAGGCCTGCATCAGCTAATGCTGGACTGCTGGCAGAAAGACAGAGCTGAACGGCCCAAGTTTGATCAGATAGTTGGCATCCTCGATAAGATGATCCGTAACCCTAACACCTTGAAAACCCCAGTGGGAACGTGTACAAGGTAAGGAAATAAAGCCTAGCATGATTCATTTTTAAAATGTGGTGTCATTCAAAAAAAAAAGAACTTAAACTTTTATTTTTAAGAACATTAGTGGATGATCCAAAGTGTCCACTTTATGATTTAGCCTCCGTAGTTCACAGATGAAAGATAAATCCCCAGGGATCGATACCCCAAAGCAGCTTCCCTGGCTTTATGGTCAATAGCAGGGCTTTTAAATCAATCTCTATAATGAGTTCCTGGTACTTTAAAGTGCAGCCGGGACTCCAGACCTCGCTCTGACGTCTGTCAAATGAATTCTATTTGCAGTCAGAACATATTTTTCTGAGGTGAGATTGAGACTTGGAGGTTAGAGCTGGTTAAAAAGGCACTTTACAATATAGAGACTGTATGAGGGGGAATGTAAAAAGATATTGACCAAAATATTTATCAAGCAGAAAGGTGACATGCTTCATCTGTTTGTGGATTTCGTATTGATAGAATCCTCCATTCCGCTACCTCTCCCCTTCTTGCAATTGACCGCACAGTTTGAAGCCTTTGGTTGTTGTTTTGTCTGGTTTGACTGTTGTTCCTCTCCCCTCTCACTTACGACAAACATCTTTCTCTGCTCATCCCACAGACCAATTAGTCCGCTGTTAGATCAGAGCACACCAGACTTCACCGCTTTCCGCTCGGTGGGAGAGTGGCTGGAAGCCATCAAGATGGAACGATACAGAGACAACTTCACAGCGGCTGGCTACAGTTCCCTGGAATCTGTGGCCAGGATGTCAATCGAGTGAGTAGATACGAAGCCCTCAAGGGGTTAAGCATCAGTGGAGAACATTAATACCAGGGATCTCACTTACACGTTCCCTCTAAACTTTAGTAAACAGAATCTACTTTCTCTGTTTTACATTCAATTACAGCTTCATGGATGACTTGTAGTCTCTGTAACTCATTTTCATTTCATTGGCTTCGGCCTTTATTTACCCAAAGTGCAGAGAGAACAGGCCTTTATTAGAGACATGCCTTTTTATTTTCCCTGTTTTATTACTTTACTTAATCATAATTTAGTCATGCGCCTCCCTGTTTATTGATCCTCCTGCGCCTCCTGCTTTAATTTGCTGTTAATGCAAACTAAACACTTTCGCCATGTTTACTTGTGTTGATGAATTCAGTAAAGTGAATGTTTCCACAGCATTAATGCCATCTCTTCAAAAACAGAGTCAAGCTATACCCAATGCTTTATAGCTGTGTCATTGCTGCATTGATTGTCACCGAATGACTTCACACAGTTCGTTGTTCACTTTCTTTTTTGACATTTAAATTAAAGATTTACACAAAGTTAAAAAACAGAAGTAATTTTCTATTGGCCACAAATAGAAGAAATCTATGATTTATCAATTTACAGATTTTCATGAAGGAAATGGATCACACTTTCCTTTCCATATTTGAAATTGGTGTTAAAAAGCATTATTGAAATTTATAACCAAACCGGTGTGATTGGCTGCCTTTGTCTGTTCCCCTTACTCACTATAATGAAAATCTTGAAGCTGTAAATCTCACTTGTTTCGTGCCGTGGTCCAGTGCGTTGATTGATGTGTTGTCCTCTCTTCCAGGGACGTGATGAGCTTGGGGATCACGCTGGTGGGCCATCAGAAAAAGATCATGAGCAGCATACAGACTATGAGGGCCCAGATGCTCCATCTCCACGGCACTGGCGTCCAGGTGTGACTGGGACCGGCCACCGCGGACAGGGGCGATCACGAAAACAGAACGTACCCGGAGCAGCGCCTGGGACGTTTTACCGGGATCTTCAAAGTAAACAGACATCTGTTATGTCTGACTCTTCCGGCTGTGTCCGGAGTGAAATCATTCCTTTGTTCCTCAGTGAAGGATTGTGGTCCGCATCTAAGGGCACTAAAGAGGAAAAGGGCAACGAAACACTAAACAATAACAAAAAAAGAAACTACCTGGACGAGACTTTTCTTTGTTTTCTTTTTTTGTTGGTTTTCTAGGCGCTTAGAAACTCAACCACATATCAAATGGCACATCGGAAAGAAGTTTGACACTTATGTTCATTTAACTTAATGAACGATTGAAGTGCACGCCATGGCCATGGATTTCCTTTAATGAGAACAAAAAAAAAACATCTCGCAATGGTTTCACTTCTTTGTTTTTCTATTCGTTCATTTTCTTTGTATCTGCCACAGTGACATGTTGTTGCGCATGCAGCAATGCTTTCTGCTCTTCTATCTGGACTTGACAACAGGGTAAACTCCTCTTTTATCCAAAACGGAGGGAAATCTCTCGGCACAGATTCCAAGGTCCCCGTCTGTGCCGAGACACGCTGGGCTGTTTGAACTATTTGCAGTGGTTGGTGTTTTCATGCTATCCTCACGTGCTTTTGCTGTTTGCGTCCGACAGGAGTTTTTGATGTGGTTTCAACCTTTCGCATTTTTGTATTAAGGAATTTTCCCAAGCGTGCATCACTTGAGGAGACAGAAGATGTGAACTCTTCTTTGAATCACAAGACTTTTTTCTTTATCCGAGTAGCAATATCCTTTGTCTTAGTGTTCACTACAGGAAACACGGAAACCATTACTTGGTTATTGAGTAGAATGTTTTAGCACTGTTGGAAGATTGTATTGAAATTGAAGCCAACCCATATAGTTTTGCCATGATTTTGCCCAAAATGTTGCACACAGGAATTTGTAAGGGTGGATCCAAGAAAGGTGTAGACGTAATACTGCCTTAAAATACGTTACATTCATTTTGCCAATATTTTAGGCACTTCAATGGCAAGGCTTTTTGTGGTTTATTTTGAGGGTGGACAAGCTTCCTGTTGTTTTTTTTTTTTTTCTATCTGGAACTTGGACACGGTTTAACGCCACAGGCACAGTCAGTGAGGAAGAGATGAACTAAACAGAGCAATAATTACCAGGTAGAAGTGGTCCTCACCTGAGATTTTTTTTTTCAAGGTGCTAGGTATAAACACATGTGAGTGCTGTGCTGAGACAAACCCTTTGGAAAGATTCAGTCACCGCTGGAAAGGAATGTACCTCCTTAACTTTAAAACGGTTTTGGAACGTGGTCAGACAAAAAAAAAACACAAAACTGCTGTGCCAAGTCATCAAATGAAATAATCATGTCGTACTTTGCCACTATGATGCGCTGAAGGTTTGATGAAAACCGAACATGGCAGGGAAATGTTTAACCGAGTGGCTGCAGAGATGAAAGAGGCAACATTCAAAACACAAGAAAGGTGCCAATTAGCCTTGCTGATATTATCTAACACCAACGAGCCGCCCAGAAATCAAAGCGCCCCTTCAGGGTTTGGGTGTTAAAGTGCAGGAACGTGTGTCAAAACGCCGATCGTGCCGTTTAAGTCCGCGGCCCTGCCTCTGTTGGCAGCCAGTGCAGCCACCTTTGTTTATTCATGCATCTCCACCGCTCATCCCTCACAGGCATAAACGGAACATGCATTAAGGTGTCTCTTAGGATTGGTCCTGTTTTCTTCCACACGCTGGTGTGTATGGAGAATACAGATGAGGCGGCTCTGCAGAAGACGTCCTAAAAGCCAATCAACCTATTTGGTGCCATCTGTCTCCACTTCACATGCAAAAAAGGCATGTTTCCATGTTGTGTGTGTTTTAGTGCAGTTTGAGTAAGAAAAAACACTTCACAGTAAACAGACAAAAAAACATTAGCATTTTCTTTTATTGCTACTGCAGCCTGAGATATGAATCTATATTTTCACACATGCAGCCATTTTCTTAAAGTTTCTCATTCAATGCATAAAAAAAAAACATTCATCTCATTTTAAACAAAAAAAATTCTTAGAACACCTTGCAAAGTGGGTAAAGCTGAACTAATCTGAATAAAAGAGCAAATATTGTCATGACAATAAATGTGTTAGTTTAATGTGTACTGCACAAATGGGTAATGCAATCACGTGACGTTTTCTTGATCTCTCAGCTTTTTACCTGTAAAAATTTAATTTTGGTGAACTTCGTCTAAATTCTCTCTTGCTTGTGTCGTTAGAACAAAATATGGCTGCAGAGCTGATGCAGTGTAGGTGCTGGCAGTGAACCACCACAGTAATACACAGTGTTGTACAGGTTATTAACTCTCTTTGACTTCAGTGCAGTATTCCCCTGACTATGTGTAGATCTCAGTTAATGTTTAGTGTCCATGTGTAAACTGTGCTGTCCAGTGATGTTGACTCTTGTCCTGTGACAGTAGGGTCACAGGTCGGAATCCAGCTCTGCAGCTTTGGTATGTGAGCACCTTCCTCTTGTCATATGATGTGTACATGTCAATCACCGTGCCTGCAGTATTCACTTAGGAACCATATTCAAAAGGAAACCAGCTATTAGACCCCACCAAAAAAACCTTCAGCTGTTCGATTGATCAAGTGTTTTAGCATGAATGGCCACCACAAAGGACCTGAACACACTTGAACGCGCGTCCGTAAACTTCAAACTGTATCGGCTTGTCATGGACGCACGTTCAGATCCATTCCCACCGTGGGACCGAGCGGCTCCGAGCCCCCGTGTCACACACACAAACACACACACACCCTCACTCTATCCATACAGCAAAGCTCAGCAATTGGGTCTTAGCCAAACCTTTGAATTGAATACTGGCGTAAAGTCATTCAGTCAGCACAAAACTCCCCAGTTCACAGGCAGCACTCTGTCTCACCACCCCCCATCCCGGCTCTGATTTTCAAACCGGGCCCCTGGAGGCCGCTCACACCCTAAGGTATAATGCCTCTGATCCTCTCCTTGCTCCCCCCCCCCTGTGCTGAGAGAAACAGCAGTTTGGGCCAAATTGAGATTAAATTGATTCATCGTCCAAATCACCTGTAACCTTCACCAGCGAAGTCACTTTACTGTCTGTTTTAGCCTGTTTCATCCACATTCTCCACTTGAGCTTACTCAGCTTTGGACAAAAAAAGGTTTTGCTGTGGCTGTATTTCAGCAAAACACACACACACACACACACACACACACACATATAATCACATAAGAAGATAAAACACAGGAACCTGCAGGATGTAGGCCGTTGGTTGGAATCAGGAATCGCAGATAGAGTATGAAGTTATTTTTCAAATCTTGTGGTACAGCAGTTGGAAATGAGTTTCACCGCTTCGGCGAGGTGGTGGATAGTTCCAAAGAGTGCAGCACTGATTGTGTGAGACAGAGTCGAGATGTGAGGGAATCTTTGTATATGTTCTAATTGTAAAACTTGTACATTTTATTTATATTGTTTTTTTACACATATTACTCAGTAGAGAGCTCTGAATACATTGAAAATGCACTATATTTTTATATCTTGCTGATGAATTATTGTCACCCACAAGATTTCAGTTGTACATAATTTCTCATTTAGGACCAAAGACAGTTGATAGGATCTCCATCTTTACTTTGACTTTGTCTTTATTTTTGCCTTTTAGTTTGTTGTACAGTAATACAAATTGTCAATGTATTATTTATTTTTCTGTGATGAAAGTATTGAGAATATTCACTGGTCAAAAGTATTTTCCCCGACGGAAGAGGATCATTTAATTAGACAATTTCTTGTTACATAGACAATTCTTTTTGCTTTGTAACCTTTGTAATAGACTGTACATATATTTTTGGAAATATAATACAATCTCTATAGAAGCTGTGAGTGTCCTTTGCTGTGCTTCTTACAATCTGGGTGGTGCTAAATTCATAAGCTACTTTTAGGCTACATCTCCCCAGCCACACTGGCTGCGGTTGTGGCGTGCTTCTGCTGCGTCCTGTGGTTCTCTGTTGTTAACACTGGCAGCGTGTCTGCTGTGGTTCTGCAGAGGAGATACTGGTATAACCACTATTGCCTCAGATAAAAGTCCGTTTATGTGCTCTACCAGGACACAATGGCATGAAGCAATCCTTCAAATCCAAGCTTTGTTTAAACATATTAATGGACTCAGTCAAAAGAATGCCTCGAGTGCTTTTAATTTGAAACGGTGAAGTGTTTCATTCATTTAAGTTTGTTACATATTCAATGGATAAACATTGAAATTGTCTATGTTGCTGAAAACCACAGTATGCAAAGAAAATAGGAGAGACCTCAAATCTCCAGAGCTGAAACACAGGCATTGTGGCTACTCTGTTAACATGGAAAGCAGGGCCTTCTGTGGCAGCGCTGCAGCCGGTTTCCCCGGAAAGGTTACAAAATGGATTTCCGGAAGAGGTCTAATGTGACAGGAGCCTGAGAAATCAGTGAAGGCTATATTGTCCCCAAAAAGACCCAAATAGAAAGCAGCTACGAGTGTCAACAGCTTAGTTTTCCCAACAATGTTTAGGATTTTTCAATTGAAAACGTAGCACTGTGGATATAGCCTCAGATTCCTGATCTTGAGATGAGAAGTCCATACAAGTATTTATATCAAATAAGCATTTGTTTGACATAGGTGAAGTTTGGATGCATTTACATTTAGGGCATTTAGCAGACGCTTTTGTCCAAAGCGACTTACAATAAGATACAGTAAATCTGATCAGTCTGATACCAGAGGCTGCAATTTATCATTCAGTTAATGTATTTGATTAATTTACTAAGTGTTGTGTATTAAGAAAGGATTCATGCAATTACTGAGAATCAATCTAAGATTTCAAGTTGATTCATAGTGTTTCAAATGGACAATGGTGGGCGAGGATATCAGAGTATGTGTATATGCTCATACTACTAACAGATGCTGAGATGTCTATGAACGAAATGTGTGGTTGACAGTGACTTTACTCTGGCATCATCCCATAAGTCATGAGTAGAAAGGAAGATAGATGTACCTACTTCAGCTGGTGTTGAAGGTGTTTTTCACAAACTGGCAACCTTTTCATTGTAGAGGTTTATACATTAAATACATAATTATCATTAAAGTCAGTAAATTCAGCTTATTACCTTTCAGAAAGGACGTCTTAGTCAGAAACAGACACCACTTAGAAGAATACCTCTCAACAGCACATATAACAATAACGTAGGGGATACTAAGAGCATTCTCTAATTCAGTAAACACCATTTAAACAGGGTTCAGATGAACAAGAGCTACAGAGATTTTCTTGGAAATGCTTAAGCCAGAAATCAGTAGTTGTTTTCTAACAAACAATTTTTGCACTTGTGTTCTGTCAAATTGAAAAAAACTAATTGTTGAGTTTTATTGAATTAAACGAAGCACCTTGAAGAAACCGCTCTAATATTCTTTCAGAACTACAGACCCAAATAATATCCCACTCCCCTGGCGATCTTTCCCGACACCGCAGCACACAACCCTTTTTTTTTTTTTCTGCCGAGCTCTGCTCTTACTGTGATTTATTCATCTGCCACCTTCTCAATTGGCCACACGGCTCCTAAAGGATGTAGGATGCAGCCACTCCGTAGCTCCAGCGCTGCACTGCGGGTGTGCAGCTGCTGACTGACAAGAACATTGATGTTAGACGGTCCTGCAAAAGCCTGGATTACATTCTAACCTTTATAAATTCCCACTTTCTACATTGTCTGTGCATAACGACTGCACTGTAGTCAAGGTAGGAAAATTATTATGGTTGTGGCAAACTAACTATGGATAAGATATGGTCACTAAGGATGAATTTATCTCACAGCAAATTCATGATGTTTCTGTTTTGTCTTTGTTGTGGATATAGAACATCCCACTTACCATCAACAAAATGAACACTAATCCTGTTGAAGTATTTCCCATCATTTATCCCACAGCTACAATTGAGCAACAATTGTGTGGACAGGCTTACAAACTTGTTCGTGCACGCACACATCAAAAGACAGTCAGAACAATCTTTACCATTTGGTAATTGAATCCACTGCTTTGAAGGAGCTTGGATGGATTTCTTCTGATCACATCATTCAGCAGTTCTGATATTTATTTTGGGCAAGTCCGTGGCTGTTTCCAAGCCCGCTCAGCTGTCTCTGTGAAGCAATGGCCTGGCTCTCGCATGATGCTGGCTTCTTTCCATCCTGTTTCTGTTGCTACTCCACACTTCCCATTAATTTAAGCTACAAGCCTGATCCTGCTTAAATGGTGAGATCATCTTCAGGGGTATTACAGTGAGGAGGGAAACATTCTCTGATGCGTTGTCTTCGAGCCTGGCTTTAAAATCCAAAGCTGGATACTTAGTTTAATAGTCAGTGGTTAACCTTGAACTGGGACTGCATGGGACTCACTGGATGTGTCTCTTTTTTAGTTATTACTGTCTGATCAAATGTCAGGATGAGAAAAGTTAGCTGCAGCTTGGTTGCCAAGAAAGTTAAAGAGTCAGTTCAACAAAATGAAATACTGATCTTCATTGGACTGGGTAGGCCACAGAACACACTTTCAAGTTATAAAAGGGACAATAGTCTTGTTAAGAGAATGCAAAGAGGTGCAACCAAGTGTCAAAACATCATGTGATCTACGCAGCACTTCCTGCCTCTGCCTGCCGCCCCTGTCTGCTCCACCACTTGATGCTGTTGTGAATACGTTGTGCACATGCGAAAGGCAAACTGGCTGAACTCCAGACCCAGTTCTTTGGACTTAAATTGCAGTTCATGTCTGAAAATGGCGACAGAGAGAGCGTGCAAACTAGCCAGCCGTCAGGTAGAAACCCAGAACCTTCTTGCTGTGAAGCAACCAGCTGCACCTCTGTGCTGCCCAAAAATAGAAAATAATATTCATGATTATGTTTTCATAATCACATGAGACTTAGACCAGTTGTATTTTTAATATCTTTAAATGAGCCCTTTATAATAACATTGGCCCTATGGGGTGGGGCTTTCACAATTTTCAGTGGAAAGTTAAGGGGTACTCAGTTCGCTAAGAAACATGCAACGTCACCACTAGATGTCACTACATTCTACACACTGAACAGTTAAGGAATTGTAACCGAACTGTAGTAATGATAATCATTACTGTAGATATATCGTCTGCAGATTTTCAAGTGTGGATAAAAGTTTTGCCACGGACACAACTTTTTTTTTTTTCATGGCTAACAAGGCTTGTTTCAGAAACAACTTACCCAACCTTCATTGTGTAGCGTCAAATCATAATAAACATTATCTCTAGGCACTTTACGCAGAAGACCTTAAAACTGACAGAGAAACCCAACGGTAACCGCCATGTAACTGAAAGCCATCAATTTAGATTTCAGTCAATTATATTAACATCTTTTTTTTTAAAGCCAATATCCTCCCTGCAATGCAACACTTATTGGATCTTCATGAGTACAAAATGTCTTCATCTACATCTCTCCAATACAATGATGCACGGCCACAGAAAAAAAAAAGAAGAACCCCGGCAGACTGCCAGAGGATGACAACAGGGAAAGAAATAATTTGTATTTGGCGACTCTGCAATAATCCTGAGCCCTGCTTCAACGTTATTACAGTATCTGACATTTTGCATCTAATATAGAAGTCAAACAGGGATATGGAGATGAATGGTTCTAAAGTGTGTAAATTGATTAGGAGGAGTGCGGAGGCCTGACTAATGGTTTACCTGTTTGACTCCACAAGGATAACAGATCATGGCCCATTTAGAAAAACAAAGGCTTGGCTTTTCACAGTGCAGATGTATCCTCTGGGGAAATATAAAGAGGTATTTACAGTTCCAACCATGTGTACTTTTCACGCCTCATCTCCTGCTCTCGTCTTGAAGAGAACTAGAGGTGACTTCTGGGGAAAGAGGACCTGTATTGTAAAGGAAAAGCAGTCGGTCCCTTAGCAGAGGTTGAGCCTGAAGGAAGGGATCATAAATGTGTTAAGTTTGTGGATAACGGCTGGTTAATTCAAAGAAAATGAAATATTGGGCCTTTAAATCCTGTGTACCACATTTCCACCAAAAAAACCATCATTAAAAAATAGCTTTTCTCGTAATTCGCATCCTCATAAATTAGATCAGAAAATCAGTGTTGTGTGAGCCAAAAATATTGAATCCAGATTGAGCGCCGAAGACTCACAGATCTCAGTCCTTCTACCTGGGCCGTGCCTCCTGCAGGACAACGTAGACTGAGACCAGTGCGGGACCCTGTGTGAACCAGATCATTGACATGCATGTAAGAGCCACAGTTCAATAAGTTCACGTTGCAGTTCACGGTGTCATACAAAGTTCCAAGTGCTTTATGATTGTAGGACACGTGAGCAACATGAACAGGAGATTTATTTTCAAGGTGACAACGCCCACTGTGCAGCCCCTACAGCATCATTACTTACAGCCACGAGAGCAATATAGCTCTCACCTTGAGCAGCATTATGCGTGACTGTAACATTCTGCATAGCTAATATCGTACACACCGAACAAGAATATGTATACTGTTTTATAGCCGGTGTCATACTGATAGAAGAAATATAAAATGACGTGTCAGATGTCATGTCGGGACAGTTTCTGAAGTTATTTTCAAGTGTAGCCCCTCCCTTGTTAACTGTATAGTCATTCCCAGGTAGGAAAGCAGAACACATTATTGTAATGACCGTAAACAATAAGCATTAGGTAATCAATTCATCCGGGACAAAGAAAATGATTGAGGTTTTTACAGCCCCACAGTTTCCACAGATGACAGATTTTTGTTCCTTCTCTTTATCGTCAGAGCTCCTCATTCACTCATTATCGTCGGAATGTAAATGGCCTGTACTCATA